GCCTTTCTGATCATTGACGCCTTTGAAACACGAGAAGAAGAACCAGCTTCGAGCTCGGGGGACTCTTCGCGTGAGTCTTGGTCGTCCGACGTATCGTCGACTCCTTCGACCCTTGCCCTTTTAGCTGGTGGCTGGGGGGTCGGTGTTTCGTCTTGAGGCGATGAACTGGCGTAATTTTGGTTCATATATGCTTCCATGCGGCGAAAAACTTGATCGGCTGTCGGCCGGGCCTTCGGGTCGGTCGAGACACACTCCAGAAGGAGCTCCTTGACGGGCGCTGGTGTCGACTCTGGTACGATCGGAGAATTGCCGGCGGTGTGTTGATCGCGGAGGTCGTCGATCGTCGTGATTTCAATGCCCCAAATATTCCCAAAGTCCGAGAGGATTTCGATACACGCAATCCCGTATGCATATATATCAGTGTTGAAGTTGGGTGTCGCACGTTGAGTGGTGCGTTCCGGGGCGAAGTAGGTAAACGTGCCATACTCGATTTCATCCTCGGGGAGTGGGATTTGTTCGCGTCCGTCGAACCCCTCCTCCAAGGCCAGAGAATTTGAGAAATCATTGAGTCGAACCGACTCAAGGTCATCGAGTAGGAAGCTGTTTGGCTTGACGTCGACAAAGACACATCGCTTCTCGTGTATGTGTACCAGTCCTTCTGCGATCTCGGTCATCCAGCGAAGTTTGGTTTCGAGGTTGACCGGGTGAGCCGACATAAAGGTTTCGATATCCCGGTTGGGATAAAAGGGTGAGATGACCGTCGGGATACAGACTTCGACTGAAAATCCAAGAAGGGGGGTGATTCGCCGATGCTTCAACTTGGTCCATACGTCGAGCAACCAGCCGATTTCAACCAGGTGCTCCTCGTCGCCCTTATCAGGTTTCTCTTTGTTATCGGGGAGGAGAAACTGCTTGAAAACGACATCACCTGGACGAGATTTTATGGAGCCGACGATGGTCCGGTACCGGTCAGACGCTCTCAAGGGCTCAACATCCTTCGGGATGACGAGTTCGTTATCCATGTCAAAATGTTTAAGACCAGGATACGGGCTCTCGAAGGGCGCTCGATATTTGGCTGCTTTGGGGGTCTTTTTTTGCCAGTGTTTCGCTTCCTAGACGATAGGGCTTGACCGGGCATCTTGAAACTGCACAAACGGTAGATCCGTTTTTTTTTTCTTTCTTTATTGTGCGCCGCCACGGCGGCGCACTAGCCATCAGGACCCCGTGGTCCCCGGCATCTCGCTCTTCATGGAGTACATCGAGTGTTTAAAAGTCCCACTCAGGAATGTCGCCGGGCCTGGCTTGCCATCCAGCGAGTCTCCACATCAGGGTATGGAAGATCTGTTCCAGATCAGTCCACAGACCGTTGAAGGCCTGTCCCACGATGGGTCGGTAGATCCGTTGCCGTGTCAAGACTGGACAACGGGGCAAGCAGGGAAGTGCGCAAGAGTCCTAATGCAAGACTCGAACGTAGGGAGAGGAGCGGGGACTGGACTGGGACACAGAGTGTCAAGTGTGAAGCCAAAGTTTTATTCTAGATCCAAGGCTTAGGATACTAAAAATACAAAGTGGCAAGACGAAGGCAAAAGACAGAGGCTGGTCGGAGGGCTATTTATGCGAGCGCCAAGGATCGACGCTGCAGAGCGAGGGGGCAGGAGCGAAGCAGCGGCGGGGAGGGCGAAGCAGCGAGCGAAGCAGGTGGCGGCCGTGACTCGGGATCCGTGAGTCAGCGGGCGTCAGTGGCGGCGGCATGGCGGCGCCAAGGCGTCAGGCGGCGTCGAGGCGGCGTCGTGGGCGTAACCCATGACCAACAGCAAGGAAGCGGGAACGGAACACAGACAGCGCGCGTGCTGGCGGTAAGACAACAAGGCAGCACAGCGCGGGAAACAAACAAACAGAAGGAAGGGAAAGCACTAAGGCAGGCAAACAGAAAGGAAAGGGCAAGGGTAAAGGAAGGAAGAGGGCAAAGGCAGAGGGTGTTCATGACAGCCGTCTGGAAACCTGATGCTGCTTGACCCCGAGATATTGGTGCTTCCCGAACTTGTTTCTTTGGACGACCCCTGGGTCTCTTGGGCGTAACGACTGCACTATCCGAAACCGCTGGTAGTTTAGATGATACTTGACTGGGGGGGACTGGGTCTTCCATAGTCGCTGGTGGAACTTGTTTCCTCGGACGACCCCTGGGTCTCGTCGATGTCGCATCTGCTGTCCTTGGGGTCGTTAACGCGGAGACTACCCTCTTTGGTGTTGCTGTCGATCCGGTAGAACGACGCCGTTTGGGTTCTCCTTGCCTCTCCTGGGAAGCCTTTCTGATCATTGACGCCTTTGAAACACGAGAAGAAGAACCAGCTTCGAGCTCGGGGGACTCTTCGCGTGAGTCTTGGTCGTCCGACGTATCGTCGACTCCTTCGACCCTTGCCCTTTTAGCTGGTGGCTGGGGGGTCGGTGTTTCGTCTTGAGGCGATGAACTGGCGTAATTTTGGTTCATATATGCTTCCATGCGGCGAAAAACTTGATCGGCTGTCGGCCGGGCCTTCGGGTCGGTCGAGACACACTCCAGAAGGAGCTCCTTGACGGGCGCTGGTGTCGACTCTGGTACGATCGGAGAATTGCCGGCGGTGTGTTGATCGCGGAGGTCGTCGATCGTCGTGATTTCAATGCCCCAAATATTCCCAAAGTCCGAGAGGATTTCGATACACGCAATCCCGTATGCATATATATCAGTGTTGAAGTTGGGTGTCGCACGTTGAGTGGTGCGTTCCGGGGCGAAGTAGGTAAACGTGCCATACTCGATTTCATCCTCGGGGAGTGGGATTTGTTCGCGTCCGTCGAACCCCTCCTCCAAGGCCAGAGAATTTGAGAAATCATTGAGTCGAACCGACTCAAGGTCATCGAGTAGGAAGCTGTTTGGCTTGACGTCGACAAAGACACATCGCTTCTCGTGTATGTGTACCAGTCCTTCTGCGATCTCGGTCATCCAGCGAAGTTTGGTTTCGAGGTTGACCGGGTGAGCCGACATAAAGGTTTCGATATCCCGGTTGGGATAAAAGGGTGAGATGACCGTCGGGATACAGACTTCGACTGAAAATCCAAGAAGGGGGGTGATTCGCCGATGCTTCAACTTGGTCCATACGTCGAGCAACCAGCCGATTTCAACCAGGTGCTCCTCGTCGCCCTTATCAGGTTTCTCTTTGTTATCGGGGAGGAGAAACTGCTTGAAAACGACATCACCTGGACGAGATTTTATGGAGCCGACGATGGTCCGGTACCGGTCAGACGCTCTCAAGGGCTCAACATCCTTCGGGATGACGAGTTCGTTATCCATGTCAAAATGTTTAAGACCAGGATACGGGCTCTCGAAGGGCGCTCGATATTTGGCTGCTTTGGGGGTCTTTTTTTGCCAGTGTTTCGCTTCCTAGACGATAGGGCTTGACCGGGCATCTTGAAACTGCACAAACGGTAGATCCGTTTTTTTTTTCTTTCTTTATTGTGCGCCGCCACGGCGGCGCACTAGCCATCAGGACCCCGTGGTCCCCGGCATCTCGCTCTTCATGGAGTACATCGAGTGTTTAAAAGTCCCACTCAGGAATGTCGCCGGGCCTGGCTTGCCATCCAGCGAGTCTCCACATCAGGGTATGGAAGATCTGTTCCAGATCAGTCCACAGACCGTTGAAGGCCTGTCCCACGATGGGTCGGTAGATCCGTTGCCGTGTCAAGACTGGACAACGGGGCAAGCAGGGAAGTGCGCAAGAGTCCTAATGCAAGACTCGAACGTAGGGAGAGGAGCGGGGACTGGACTGGGACACAGAGTGTCAAGTGTGAAGCCAAAGTTTTATTCTAGATCCAAGGCTTAGGATACTAAAAATACAAAGTGGCAAGACGAAGGCAAAAGACAGAGGCTGGTCGGAGGGCTATTTATGCGAGCGCCAAGGATCGACGCTGCAGAGCGAGGGGGCAGGAGCGAAGCAGCGGCGGGGAGGGCGAAGCAGCGAGCGAAGCAGGTGGCGGCCGTGACTCGGGATCCGTGAGTCAGCGGGCGTCAGTGGCGGCGGCATGGCGGCGCCAAGGCGTCAGGCGGCGTCGAGGCGGCGTCGTGGGCGTAACCCATGACCAACAGCAAGGAAGCGGGAACGGAACACAGACAGCGCGCGTGCTGGCGGTAAGACAACAAGGCAGCACAGCGCGGGAAACAAACAAACAGAAGGAAGGGAAAGCACTAAGGCAGGCAAACAGAAAGGAAAGGGCAAGGGTAAAGGAAGGAAGAGGGCAAAGGCAGAGGGTGTTCATGACAGCCGTCTGGAAACCTGATGCTGCTTGACCCCGAGATATTGGTGCTTCCCGAACTTGTTTCTTTGGACGACCCCTGGGTCTCTTGGGCGTAACGACTGCACTATCCGAAACCGCTGGTAGTTTAGATGATACTTGACTGGGGGGGACTGGGTCTTCCATAGTCGCTGGTGGAACTTGTTTCCTCGGACGACCCCTGGGTCTCGTCGATGTCGCATCTGCTGTCCTTGGGGTCGTTAACGCGGAGACTACCCTCTTTGGTGTTGCTGTCGATCCGGTAGAACGACGCCGTTTGGGTTCTCCTTGCCTCTCCTGGGAAGCCTTTCTGATCATTGACGCCTTTGAAACACGAGAAGAAGAACCAGCTTCGAGCTCGGGGGACTCTTCGCGTGAGTCTTGGTCGTCCGACGTATCGTCGACTCCTTCGACCCTTGCCCTTTTAGCTGGTGGCTGGGGGGTCGGTGTTTCGTCTTGAGGCGATGAACTGGCGTAATTTTGGTTCATATATGCTTCCATGCGGCGAAAAACTTGATCGGCTGTCGGCCGGGCCTTCGGGTCGGTCGAGACACACTCCAGAAGGAGCTCCTTGACGGGCGCTGGTGTCGACTCTGGTACGATCGGAGAATTGCCGGCGGTGTGTTGATCGCGGAGGTCGTCGATCGTCGTGATTTCAATGCCCCAAATATTCCCAAAGTCCGAGAGGATTTCGATACACGCAATCCCGTATGCATATATATCAGTGTTGAAGTTGGGTGTCGCACGTTGAGTGGTGCGTTCCGGGGCGAAGTAGGTAAACGTGCCATACTCGATTTCATCCTCGGGGAGTGGGATTTGTTCGCGTCCGTCGAACCCCTCCTCCAAGGCCAGAGAATTTGAGAAATCATTGAGTCGAACCGACTCAAGGTCATCGAGTAGGAAGCTGTTTGGCTTGACGTCGACAAAGACACATCGCTTCTCGTGTATGTGTACCAGTCCTTCTGCGATCTCGGTCATCCAGCGAAGTTTGGTTTCGAGGTTGACCGGGTGAGCCGACATAAAGGTTTCGATATCCCGGTTGGGATAAAAGGGTGAGATGACCGTCGGGATACAGACTTCGACTGAAAATCCAAGAAGGGGGGTGATTCGCCGATGCTTCAACTTGGTCCATACGTCGAGCAACCAGCCGATTTCAACCAGGTGCTCCTCGTCGCCCTTATCAGGTTTCTCTTTGTTATCGGGGAGGAGAAACTGCTTGAAAACGACATCACCTGGACGAGATTTTATGGAGCCGACGATGGTCCGGTACCGGTCAGACGCTCTCAAGGGCTCAACATCCTTCGGGATGACGAGTTCGTTATCCATGTCAAAATGTTTAAGACCAGGATACGGGCTCTCGAAGGGCGCTCGATATTTGGCTGCTTTGGGGGTCTTTTTTTGCCAGTGTTTCGCTTCCTAGACGATAGGGCTTGACCGGGCATCTTGAAACTGCACAAACGGTAGATCCGTTTTTTTTTTCTTTCTTTATTGTGCGCCGCCACGGCGGCGCACTAGCCATCAGGACCCCGTGGTCCCCGGCATCTCGCTCTTCATGGAGTACATCGAGTGTTTAAAAGTCCCACTCAGGAATGTCGCCGGGCCTGGCTTGCCATCCAGCGAGTCTCCACATCAGGGTATGGAAGATCTGTTCCAGATCAGTCCACAGACCGTTGAAGGCCTGTCCCACGATGGGTCGGTAGATCCGTTGCCGTGTCAAGACTGGACAACGGGGCAAGCAGGGAAGTGCGCAAGAGTCCTAATGCAAGACTCGAACGTAGGGAGAGGAGCGGGGACTGGACTGGGACACAGAGTGTCAAGTGTGAAGCCAAAGTTTTATTCTAGATCCAAGGCTTAGGATACTAAAAATACAAAGTGGCAAGACGAAGGCAAAAGACAGAGGCTGGTCGGAGGGCTATTTATGCGAGCGCCAAGGATCGACGCTGCAGAGCGAGGGGGCAGGAGCGAAGCAGCGGCGCCAAGGCGTCAGGCGGCGTCGAGGCGGCGTCGTGGGCGAAACCCATGACCAACAGCAAGGAAGCGGGAACGGGACACAGACAGCGCGCGTGCTGGCGGTAAGACAACAAGGCAGCACAGCGCGGGAAACAAACAAACAGAAGGAAGGGAAAGCGCTAAGGCAGGCAAACAGAAAGGAAAGGGCAAGGGTAAAGGAAGGAAGAGGGCAAAGGCAGAGGGTGTTCATGACACTTACCTTTGAATGACTTGAGGAGCGAAAAATGTCAAGGGTCAAAAAAGTGTTCCAATGCCCTCGGCCAGTTGAAATACGTATATCATGCGCCACATCTACGAGAATCACGTGAAAATTCACGTGGACTCGGAAAATTAATTCAATATTGAAATACCAAATTTATGCGCAGTCCGATCATTATTTGTGACACAAGAGCGTTCTAGAGTCAAATGTTGAAAATATTGGAACACTTTTTGAAGCTACTCTAGGTCGTGCACCCACCTGAAATTGAGATACAGTGGTTTCCAAAATTGTCCCAATGTTTTGGTCCTTCGACTTTGAACATCGGCTGCTCTGTCAATCCTGCTCCGATCTGCATCAAACTTTGCAGTAACGTAGCCTGCCTACTCGGTATTGACTGTGTCAAGTATGGTTGTACAAAGTTCCAATCTAGCTGGATGGTGCTGGTTCGACTCCGGCTCGAGCATTGGGACAATTTTGGAACCCTCTGATTTTTGACCCCCAATGACCACTCTCACAGCTGTAACACTTCCAATTTTTCTCAGTTAGGCTTGAAACTTTGCAAACAGGTCCTACAGGAACCAGCCATCATTTTGTATGCATTGGAGTTGTTCAAATCACGTGGACACACCACTTTGACCAACGTCCATAATGACCTTCATGTGCAAGTTGGAACCCATAAAGTTGTGCAAACTTCGCCAGTTTGTTTGCTGAAACATGAACACCAAGTGATTACAACATGGTTGGAACAAAGCCGAGGTCATTTGACCGAGATTTGACAACTTCAAACAAAGGGGACTACTTCTCCAATATCAATCAAACTGTGTTCCCGATTCCAAATCGAGCAAAATTTACTCGAATTCGCAAGTTTTCGCTCATTCTTAACTCAAAATCAATAAAGAATGGTGATGGAGTACGTCATTCCAACTTTGGAACTACCAGAGTTAATCAAACTGGCACAAGGTCGATGCCATATCTGGCTGACTCTATCGAGAATTATTGAGATGACCAAATTTTTGTTCTTACTCAAAAGAAGGACGGATCTTTTTGCTTTTACGGTGGTTGGAAACTTCAATGAACAAACGGATATACATATACCACCAACTGTGCGAAAATTTTGGACAGTAAGCATCTTGGTCCAATATTGCCATATATTAATTTGTGAAAAAAGCAGGATAATTTCGATTTGGGCGTCGAGATTCGCTGGGGTCCCTTCCAAAAAGATTAGATGTGACAATGGTGTCGAAATGAATCATCATTGTCGAGACATTTGCGCTTTAGCGAGTTTGAATCTATGATTGGGGGGTGGAATACATGTTTAGGGATATAAAGGAAGCAGTCCCCTTTGTTTGAAGTTGATCAAATCTCAGTCAAATGACCTCGGATTTGTTCCAACCATGTTTTGATCACTCGGTGTTCATGTTTCAGCAAACAAACTGGCGAAGTTTGCACAACTTTATGGGTTCCAACTTGCACATGAAGGTCATTATGGACGTTGGTCAAAGTGGTGTGTCCACGTGATTTGAACAACTCCAATGCATACAAAATGATGGCTGGTTCCTGTAGGACCTGTTTGCAAAGTTTCAAGCCTAACTGAGAAAAATTGGAAGTGTTACAGCTGTGAGAGTGGTCATTGGGGGTCAAAAATCAGAGGGTTCCAAAATTGTCCCAATGCTCGAGCCGGAGTCGAACCAGCACCATCCAGCTAGATTGGAACTTTGTACAACCATACTTGACACAGTCAATACCGAGTAGGCAGGCTACGTTACTGCAAAGTTTGATGCAGATCGGAGCAGGATTGACAGAGCAGCCGATGTTCAAAGTCGAAGGACCAAAACATTGGGACAATTTTGGAAACCACTGTACTGTTAGAGTCCGAAAGGGGCTCAACGGCAAAAGAGAAAGTGAGCTCGAAGTGAGCTCAGGGAAGGCAAGTGTAGGGTCCGAAGTGGACTCGGAGAGGGAGCGAGGAAAGCAAAGATCCGTTCAAGATAAGACTAGTCTCGAAATGAGACGTGAGGAACACTCAGAGAATAAAGTAGAAGGCACTTTATTTAGTCCTATTTTGAACGCTGAGGTTCGACTACACATCGCGGGGGTCAGGCTATTTATAGACAAGTCCGGACTTGGCAGCGAAGGGCGGCCAAGGGAGGGAAAAGTGGGCGATCGAGCGGGGCGAAGGGGGCGATGCACGAACGAGGGCCGAGAAGGACCACCGAGACGAGCAGAGAACCAAAGCGAGGGAGGCGCAAGCAAAAGCGAAGCACCTGGCAGGAGAAACGTGCAAGGGCGAAGCAATGTGACTCAACGTCCAAGAAGCGGATTGGTCAAGTATAAGGTTGGGGCAAATGCATGCGAGATGAACAAGAGATCGGGGCGGTCAGGCAGGTCATGAGTCACCGGTGGGGGGACACATGACCGGCAGCCGAATTGCAACCAATCGCAGCAAGGCGCGTGCACAAACAAACCGGCGCGTGCGAAGAAGACAAAGGAAGCGGAGCAGCGCGGGAAAACGGAAGTGCGGAAGGAGCGGAAAGACAGGCAAAGGCGGAAAATCGGAGGGGAACTGCAAAGCTACACACAAACAGACAGAAAGGTAAAATAACAGCCAAGTGCGCAGTCAACGTGGAGAACAAGCAGGAGCTATCCCTAACATGGAGACCGCATGCTCCGAGGTGCACGGGGGTATCGGACCGGCCGATGATAAATAGACCATCGTCTCCTACATCCATGTTCTCATCCCCGCCAGTCTCAACTCGACTCCGACATACTTCTCTACAAGCGACTACAACCTACGACTTACTCCAGGTTCGTGCTCTCCCACGCACACTACAGAATGCTGGCATGATCCCAGTCACCGATACACGGTCTTCTATTCAAACACAGACGTGTCTACACCTTCCGCCTCTCCCGCCGCCCCTCTGCGCTTCCTCCGTTGCGCTGAAGTCCTCGAGGATGGCACTCGCTGCCCCGGCCGCGCCGTCCAGACCGGGCTCAAGTGCAATGTCCACTGCACCAAGCCCGGCTTGTCAGGAACTGGACAGGGGCAGGACCGGGGAACCGAAGGCAAGGACAAGGAAGCAGAGACAGGGCTGAACAGGGGCTGGTAAGGAGAGTGATGATCGTTTATTGAGGTGATAATTCACTAGCGTTCATCAGGAGGGGAGCGGGGTGTTCTATTCAAGTCTATGTGTACCCCTCCCTCGCTCGCCCTCCGGAGAATATATTCGAGCCCCGACCCTATGTTTCCCACGGTCATGAATCACGCCCGAGTGGCCATGCAGGGCGGGTCATGAATGACGCGTCGCATGATCGGCGACCGCGTTCATAACACGGCTACAACCACCGCTGCCCCTATGCCACTGGCATGTCTGGTTATACGCTGCAGTGCTCCATGTCCTGCATGGAGGGCTTTGATGGGTGCTTTCACCACCGCCGCTTCCCCGAAGCGGACTATGTGGGTCGCTGCACCCACATGACCAAGAAGTCCGACTTGAAAGTCCGTTGCTCGTGCAAGTCCCTCCACGGCCGAGACGTTTGCGAGTGGCATGAACTCTACCCCACGCGCTTTTACTTGGAGGTTATGCAGGTGGACCGCAAGCCCGCGTATTACGACTCGGACTCGGACAACGAACCCGGACCATCGACTCCTCGTCGGGCTCCCATGAAGCGCACTACCCGCACCCCCGAGGCCTTTTGGGATGCCGAGGATCACGAAGAACCCACCTTTGTCTCCCCCGAGCAGAAGGCCGATGATGCCAAGAAGGCCGAGGAACTCGCCAGGATCGTGAGTGCCCTCATGTCTGTCTCGGACAGAGGCGACGCCATTGATACCGATGCAGTCAACAAGGTGAGCCTCGGACCCGCAGCACCCACTCCCGTCTTTCTCGCTCTCAATCGCGTCAATGTTCTCAACTGGCTTCTCTCCACCCCAAAGATCATTTCGGGCGTCATTGGTGAACGCTCCCCCAGAGAACGTCGCACCTTCACTCCCGCACCCAAGGCCACCAAGGGTATCAAGGTCAAGGCTGAGCGTGGCTGAATGGGTGGATGTATTGTTTTGTTTGTCACAGAGTCATGAATACATTTTGACTGGCTCCAACCACGAGCACCACAGAGATGAAATACACTGAATACTTCATATACTGATTTCATTGTTCGCGCGGACAAAATGTTCATTTGATTCGCTTCCTGGCATTTTCGTGTCCCTGTCAGGCAGACTCGAGGAAACAATTGGTGGCTTCCTCTTGATCTCTTGCGACACCTTGGCCATACCAGTAGCAGATACCAACACGATACTGGCCGTTACGGTTTCCCTGCCAGGCTGACTTGTGGAACCATTGGAATGCTTCGACGTGGTCTCGGTCCACACAGTTGCCCCATAGGTAGCACATTCCAACTTGATGTTCCCCGTAGGAGTTGCCCAGGGCCGCGGACCTCTGGAATCACTTGAATGCGTGCTGTTGGCTGGCAGCAACACCAGTTCCGGAGAAGTAGCAACGGCCGAGTAGATTCTGGCTGTCACTGTGACCATCGTCGGCGAGACCTTGCAAGACTTGCACTGCTCGCTTCGGGTCCGTGGCGACACCATACCCATAGAGCAGACATATAGCCTTGATATGTCGGCAAAGCCAATCGTGACTTGATCCCATTTCACAGAGCCCGTAGAGTGTTCGACATGTTGTGTTGGGCTCTTGATCGTCAAAGCGACAGGGATCCACGAAGCATTCGTCTTGGCCAAGAGCGAGGCCACTTTCGCGGATCATCTTGACGCCCCTGTGCTTGTTCTGAGGAACAGATCGACCAAGGTAGCGAAACCATCCAACCATGAAAGTGGCGATGGCTACATGGGATCGGACATTGGATCACTGGCGAACTTGCTCCCAGCACCCGAAAGCGTCGGCGTCACTCTGCCCTACCCTTTGGCCGAGGAAGTGGAGCCATCCGCGGAAGAAGACAGGACGGTAGCTATGGTAGCCGTAGACGGGTACATCCGCCTTGAAGTACCAGTCGATTGCGGTTTCGAGATTGAAGTCGACACCGTTACCCTGCTCGTAGCAGCTTCCGAGGGCAACTTGAGCTTGAACCAGCCCGGCTGTGGCAAGCTTCCTATTGAGAATAATGGCCTTGGTGTCGTCTCGGCCGACTCCGTGGTTCCCCTGATAGCACTTGGCCAGGTGAAATTGGGCCATAAGGTGACCGGCATCGGTCGCTTGCACCAGCTGTGAGGAGTGAACCAGCGCAAGGACGAAGACCAAGTGCTTGGTATGAGCTTTATTAGCTTTTAGCCCCGAACACCAAAGAACAAGTTTTGTTCGAACTGGTGTTCAACATAGGCTCAGACATGCAGGGCTATTTATAGACCGGGAGGAGGTCGAGGGGCAAAAGTGGGCGAGAAGGGTGGAGCATCACAGAGAAGCGAGAAGGCGGTGCGAGAGTGGCTGGTGTGCAAGCGAGAGAGGCTTGGCACAGCCCGGGGACATGTGCCGAGCGGTGGGGGAGGCAGGAAACCAGTAGACGCGGGTGGCAACGGCGCGTGCTCATGCATGGGGGCAAACAAACACGTGGGGACTCATGATTGGTGCGGAGGGCGAGAGCATGCGGGACAGTCTCATTGGTCCGTTGTGATGCTGGTCATCACACCAGCCTTCTGAGGATTGCATGCTCCACTTTGTTTCCCCATCCAGGAGTGTTATGAACGCGGTCGCCGATCATACGACGCGTCATTCATGACCCGCGCTGCATGGCCACTCGGGCGTGATTCATGACCGTGGGAAACATAGGTCGGAGCTCGAATATATTCTCCGCAGGGCGAGCAGGGGAGGGTGAGGCATAGACTTGAATAGAACACCCCGTCCCCTCCTGGATGAACGCTAGTGAATTATCACCTCAATAAACGATCATCACTCTCCTTACCAGCCCCTGTTCAGCCCTGCCCCTGCTTCCTTGTTCTTGCCCTCGGTTCCTCAGTCCTGCCCCTGCCCAGTTCCTGACAAGGAGGCGACATTGCGTCAATCCTCTCCGTGAGGAGACGAGCCAGGATAGGTCGTCGGTAGCTTGGGCGGCGTAGAAGCGGGCAACAGCGTAAACGTCTGCACAGATGGGGTTGCCAAAGATCGATTGGCTCATGAACGCGAGCCCGTTTCGCATGAACCACCGACACACACAGAGAATCCGGGAGCTGGCTAGACTGTTAGGGATAGCTCCTGCTTGTTCTCCACTTTGACTGCACACTTGGCTGTTCTTTGCCTTTCTGTTTGTTTGTGTGTAGCTTTGCAGTTCCCCTCCGATTTTCCGCCTTTTTGCCTGCCATTTCCGCCCATTCAGCACTTCCGTTTTCCCGCGCTGCTCCGCTTCCTTTGTCTTCTTCGCACGCGCCGGTTTGTTTGTGCACGCGCCTTGCTGCGATTGGTTGCAATTCGGCTGCCGGTCATGTGTCCCCCCACCGGTGACTCATGACCTGCCTGACCGCCCCGATCTCTTGTTCATCTCGCATGCATTTGCCCCAACCTTATACTTGACCAATCCGCTTCTTGGACGTTGAGTCACATTGCTTCGCCTTTGCACGTTTCTCCTGCCAGGTGCTTCGCTTTTGCTTGCGCCTCTCTCGCTTTGGTTCTCTGCCTGTCTCGGTGGTCCTTCTCGGCCCTCGTTCGTGCATCGCCCCCTTCGCCCTGCTCGATCGCCCACTTTTCCCTCCCTTGGCCGCCCTTCGCTGCCAAGTCCGGACTTGTCTATAAATAGCCTGACCCCCGCGATGTGTAGTCGAACCTCAGCGTTCAAAATAGGACTAAATAAAGTGCCTTCTACTTTATTCTCTGAGTGTTCCTCACGTCTCATTTCGAGACAAGTCTTATCTTGAACGGATCTTTGCTTTCCTCGCTCCCTCTCCGAGTCCACTTCGGACTTTACCCTTGCCTTCCCTGAGCTCACTTCGAGCTCACTTCTTCTTTTGCCGTTGAGTCCCCTTCGGACTCTAACATCATTTTGAACGCTCCCTCTTGGCTTCCCGGCCTTTCTTCTTCTTTCGCCTCTCTTTCCCTTGTCGATCCGATGGCTGAGCCTGCTGCACCCCCTGCAGATCTCAATGCGTATCTGGCGCGCATGGAGGAGCGTATGAACGCCCTCATGACCCAGAACGCTGCTCTCCATCGTCAGATCCAGGACCTGCAAGCTCCCGCCGCCGCTCCCCGCCAGGTCTACCAGGTGAACAAGCCCAAGGAGTTCCTAGGTTCCCGTGACGAAACGACGGCCTTCCTCGCCCAGTGCCACCTGGTCTTCCTCGCCGATCCCGCCTTCTTCGCGCCCGAGCGCCAGAAGGTCCTTTATGCCACCTCCTTCCTCCGCGGCGAAGCCTTCAAGTGGTACGAGGCCGCCTTCTACATGGCCAACCGTTTCCCCGCTTCCTTCGCCGATTTCGAAGTTGCCCTCAAGTCGACCTTCGGTGAGGACACGGCCTCCTCGCAAGATAAGGCCTTGAACGACCTCAAGCGCTTGGTTCAACTTAAGTCCTGCCAAGCCTTTGCCACCCGCTTCGTCCAACTTGCCGCCCGAGTCCAGACCGACGAACCCACCAAGATGCACTTCTTCAAGGAGGGTCTGAAGTCTGAGGTCAAGTTCCACCTCATCGGTCTCCACCCCGCTCCCGCTTCCCTGCCTGAGTTGATCAAGGCAGCGGTCGAGTACGACGATGCCCTCCATCGTCTCAAGGTCTCCTCCCGTTCCCAACCTCCTCCTCCTTCTTCTCGCTCTGCTCCCCATCACCACCATTCTCCCGCGCATGTTTCTTCTTCCTCCTCTTCTGCGCCCACTCCCATGGACCTTGACTCTGTCTCGGTCCGCCCTGCTAAGCTCTCCGACGTCGAGAAAAAGCGACGTCGTGAGCAGGGTCTCTGTTTGTACTGCGGGGAAAAGTCTTGTCCCGGCAGTCGCGATGTTCAGCAGTGCCCGGTTCTGGTCAAACGGAACTCGGGAAATGCCCACAGCCGAGCAGCACCTCGCAAGTAAGCGAGGTGGTCTGTTCGGCGATACGAACATCTTCCCCCTTTGACTCGTCATTATCGGACGATAAGCTTCTTCTTCCGGCCACTCTTATCGTCATGAGTCTTTCTGGCCCGGTCTCCATCTCCCTTTCTGTTTTCATTGATGATGGATGTTCCGCTCTTGCCCTCATTGATCCTGCCTTTGCCGATCTTCATAAACTCTCTCTTATCCCTCTTTCTACTCCTTACTCCGTTTCCCTTGCTGATGGTTCTTCGGCCGGTTTCATTCGTTTCCAAACCGTGCCTTTGACTCTGACCATTGGTTCCCATACCGAGTCGATTTCGTTTCTTGTGACTCGACTCTCCACCACTCCCATCACTCTTGGTCTTCCCTGGATGCGCTTGCACAATCCAGTTGTCAATTGGAAGTCCCTCTCCCTTTCTTTCTCCGATCCCTCTTGCCTTGCTGATGGACACATCCTCGCGGATGTCTCTGCTTCTTCCTTGGACACTTCGTCCACTTCTGGCTCTTCGCCTCCCCCTTCGGGCACTTCGCCTTTGACTCTTCCTCCCTCCGGTCCTTCCCTTACACCGGTTCCCTCCTTTGGCACTTCGCCTTCCCTTTCTTCCCGCCTTGACTCTGCTTCGCTTTCTGAAGAGCCAACGGCTTTATCTTCGCCCGACATTGAGCTCGTTAATGCGGCGAGTCTTCTCCGTCTTGCACGGGAAGACAAGCTCGACATTTTCGCTGCCCAAATGGATATCCGTCCTCCTTCGCCGGAGACGTATCCTACGGTGTCGATAAGGTCCGTGCTCACGACGAAGGTGTATGCCGAGTCTGGCACCCCTGTCGACTCTCGGGGTGTCCCACTCAAATACAATGAGTTTGGCGACGTTTTCAGCCTCAAGTCTGACCCTCCTTCTTCCTTGCCTCCTCACCGTCCGTATGACTTGTCCATTGAGTTTGTACGGACCGAGGATGGAAAGGAACCTCGTTTGCCAAAGCCGGGGAAAGTCTATCCTTTGTCCCCGGCCGAGGAATCTGCTCTTTCGGAGTATCTGACCAACGCCCTCGCACGTGGTTGGATCTCCAAATCCTCTTCTCCCGTTGGTGCTCCCTGCTTCTTCGTGAAGAAGCCCAATGGTGGTCTTCGCCTTTGCGTCGACTACCGGGGCCTCAATGCCATCACGAAGAAGAACCGTTACCCTCTTCCCCTCTTCCAGGATCTTCTTGATAAACTTTCTTCTGCCCGCGTCTTCTCACACCTTGACCTTCCTGATGCTTACCACTTGGTTCGTGTCAAGAAGGGCGATGAGTGGAAGACTGCTTTTGTTTGCAAATCTGGCTCTTTTGAGTACAACGTTATCCCCTTTGGTCTTTCAAATGCCCCCGCTGCTTTTCAGTTTTTTATGAACGACATCTTCTCGGACCTCCTTGGTGTCTGTGTTGTCATTTATCTTGACGACATCCTGATCTTCTCAAAAGATCCCCAGGAGCATGAGGAGCATGTTAAGCTTGTTCTTTCTCGCCTTCGTGAACACTCTCTTAAGGTCAATCCGGCCAAGTGTTCTTTTGACCTTTCTGAAGTTGATTTTCTCGGCATGATCATTTCTGCCGATGGCATCAAAATGGACCCTGCCAAGGTCGAGGCCGTTTCCCTTTGGCCTGTTCCCTCTTCTGCTCGCGACATCCAAGTCTTTATTGGTTTCGCAAACTTTTACCGCCGCTTCGTCAAGGACTTTTCCGCACTTGCTCGTCCTTTGACTTCACTCACCACCAAATCCTCCACCTTCTCTTGGTCTCCCGAGGCCCAAGAGGCTTTTGATTCTCTTAAACGTTCATTCACTTCCGCTCCTATTCTTCGATACTTTGATTTCTCCAAACCCGCTGTCATTGAGCCCGATGCTTCTGACTTTGCTCTGGGTGCCGTCCTTTCCCAGTTTGACCCTGACGGCGCTCTTCACCCCGTTGCTTTTCACTCTCGGCAATTCCGCCCCGCCGTGGTGAATTATGACACTCACGACAAAGAGCTCCTTGCCATTGTCGATTCCTTTACTGCCTGGCGTCATTACTTGATGGCTGCCGACCCCGATCATCCCACTCTTGTTTTCTCTGATCACCAGAACCTTACCCGGTTCACTTCTGCTTCTCAACTTTCTCGCCGCCAGTTCCGGTGGGCCCAATTCCTTTCTGACTTTGCTTTCCGCATTTACCACCGCCCTGGTCGTCTCAACACCAAAGCCGATGCTCTCAGTCGCCGTTCTGACTTTGAGATAAAGCCTGGTGACTCCCTCCACTCCACCAACTTCCTTCAGCTGTTCGAGTCTATTTCTCTCGACAGCATCACCGTTATCGGCTCGAATCCCGACTTTCTTTCCGAGATTCGAGCTGCCACCCTTTCTTGTTCCCTTCTTTCTGACTTTAACGCCAAACGTCTTGATGGCGATTACTCCTTCCGTGAGGGTCTCCTTTACTTTAAAGACCTGATCGTGGTCCCTTCCCCCGAGCTCCAGCTCAAAGTGTTTGAGCAACGTCACTGCTCCGCTGCCGCTGGTCACTTTGGTCTTGCCAAGACCGTTGAGCTCATCTCCCGGGACTTTCACTGGCCCCGGCTTCGTAAGTCTGTGCGTCGCTTCATTGCTAATTGTGAAGCGTGCCAGCGAGCCAAGCCGTCCCGTCACTCCCCTTATGGTTTACTTCACCCTCTCCCCGTTCCTTCCGAACGTTGGTGGGACCTGTCGATGGACTTCATCACGGATCTCCCACCTTCGAACGGCTTTGACTCGATCTTCGTGGTTAAGGACCGCCTGTCCAAACAAGCACACTTTGTGCCCACCACGAAGACGGTTACAGGCGAGCAAACCGCCGAACTCTTCCTCTCCCACATCTTCCGCTTGCATGGTTGTCCCCGGTCTATTGTTTCGGACCGAGGAACTCAGTTTACTTCGGCCTTCTGGAGGCGCTTCAATGAGCTTCTGAAGACGAAGATTTCCCTTTCTTCTGCCTTCCACCCCGAGACCGACGGTTCGACCGAGGTTCTCAACCAGGTCATCGAGCAGTATTTGCGTATCCATTGCAATTACCTGCAAGACGACTGGACCCTTCACCTTCCCCTTGCCGAGTTCACTTACAACAACTCGGAAAACACCTCCACTGGCATGACTCCCTTCTTTGCAGTCCATGGCCATCACCCCATTTTTGATCCCTCCATCATCCGTGATCCCTCTGTTGTGCCCTCTGCCGAAGAACGTGTCGACCGACTTCAGACCGTTCTCGAGGATCTCAAGGCCAACCTCCGGGTTGCCCAAGAGTCCTACACTGTGCAGGCCAACAAATCCCGTCTCCCCACTCCCGACATCTCCGTTGGCGACCTCGTTTTTCTTGATCGTCGCCACATCCGCACCCTTCGTCCCTCCAACAAGCTTGACCAGAAAAAGCTTGGCCCCTTTAAAGTTCTTCGCCGCATCAACCCCGTTGCCTTTGAGCTTAAACTCCCTTCCACACTCAAAGTCCATCCCGTTTTTCATGTATCCCTCCTTGAACCCCGAACGAAGGACATTGTTCCCGAGTTCACCCAACCTGAACCACCTCCCATTCTTGTTGACTCCCAGGAAGAGTTTGAGGTCGAGACTGTTCTCGATTCTCGGCTCTTCCGTGGTCGCTTACAGTACTTGGTTCAGTGGAAGGGTTATTCCGAGACTGACCGGTCTTGGGAGCCCGCTGCCAATGTTTCCCACGCCACTGATCTTGTTGCTGACTTCCACCTTCGCTATCCCTCAAAGCCGAAGGCGACGCCCGGAGTTCGTCGCTAAGGAAGGGGATGATGTTAGGGATAGCTCCTGCCTGCTCCCCACTTTGACTGCCCACTTGGCTGTTCTTTTGCCTTTCTGTTTGTTTGTGCGTAGCTTTGCAGTTCCCCTCCGATTTTCCGCCTTTTGCCTGCCATTTCCGCCCATTCCGCACTTCCGTTTTCCCGCGCTGCTCCGCTTCCTTTGTCTTCTTCGCACGCGCCGGTTTGTTTGTGCACGCGCCTTGCTGCGATTGGTTGCAATTCGGCTGCCGGTCATGTGTCCCCCCACCGGTGACTCATGACCTGCCTGACCGTCCCGATCTCTTGTTCATCTCGCATGCATTTGCCCCAACCTTATACTTGACCAATCCGCTTCTTGGACGTTGAGTCACATTGCTTCGCCTTTGCACGTTTCTCCTGCCAGGTGCTTCGCTTTTGCTTGCGCCTCTCTCGCTTTGGTTCTCTGCCTGTCTCGGTGGTCCTTCTCGGCCCTCGTTCGTGCATCGCCCCCTTCGCCCTGCTCGATCGCCCACTTTTCCCTCCCTTGGCCGCCCTTCGCTGCCAAGTCCGGACTTGTCTATAAATAGCCTGACCCCCGCGATGTGTAGTCGAACCTCAGCGTTCAAAATAGGACTAAATAAAGTGCCTTCTACTTTATTCTCTGAGTGTTCCTCACGTCTCATTTCGAGACTAGTCTTATCTTGAACGGATCTTTGCTTCCCTCGCTCCCTCTCCGAGTCCACTTCGGACTTTACCCTTGCCTTCCCTGAGCTCACTTCGAGCTCACTTCTTCTTTTGCCGTTGAGTCCCCTCCGGACCCTAACACGGCCCTGGGCAACTCCTACGGGGAACATCAAGTTGGAATGTGCTACCTATGGGGCAACTGTGTGGACCGAGACCACGTCGAAGCATTCCAATGGTTCCACAAGTCAGCCTGGCAGGGAAACCGTAACGGCCAGTATCGTGTTGGTATCTGCTACTGGTATGGCCAAGGTGTCGCAAGAGATCAAGAGGAAGCCACCAATTGTTTCCTCGAGTCTGCCTGACAGGGACACGAAAATGCCAGGAAGCGAATCAAATGAACATTTTGTCCGCGCGAACAATGAAATCAGTATATGAAGTATTCAGTGTATTTCATCTCTGTGGTGCTCGTGGTTGGAGCCAGTCAAAATGTATTCATGACTCTGTGACAAACAAAACAATACATCCACCCATTCAGCCACGCTCAGCCTTGACCTTGATACCCTTGGTGGCCTTGGGTGCGGGAGTGAAGGTGCGACGTTCTCTGGGGGAGCGTTCACCAATGACGCCCGAAATGATCTTTGGGGTGGAGAGAAGCCAGTTGAGAACATTGACGCGATTGAGAGCGAGAAAGACGGGAGTGGGTGCTGCGGGTCCGAGGCTCACCTTGTTGACTGCATCGGTATCAATGGCGTCGCCTCTGTCCGAGACAGACATGAGGGCACTCACGATCCTGGCGAGTTCCTCGGCCTTCTTGGCATCATCGGCCTTCTGCTCGGGGGAGACAAAGGTGGGTTCTTCGTGATCCTCGGCATCCCAAAAGGCCTCGGGGGTGCGGGTAGTGCGCTTCATGGGAGCCCGACGAGGAGTCGATGGTCCGGGTTCGTTGTCCGAGTCCGAGTCGTAATACGCGGGCTTGCGGTCCACCTGCATAACCTCCAAGTAAAAGCGCGTGGGGTAGAGTTCATGCCACTCGCAAACGTCTCGGCCGTGGAGGGACTTGCACGAGCAACGGACTTTCAAGTCGGACTTCTTGGTCATGTGGGTGCAGCGACCCACATAGTCCGCTTCGGGGAAGCGGCGGTGGTGAAAGCACCCATCAAAGCCCTCCATGCAGGACATGGAGCACTGCAGCGTATAACCAGACATGCCAGTGGCATAGGGGCAGCGGTGGTTGTAGCCGTGTTATGAACGCGGTCGCCGATCATGCGACGCGTCATTCATGACCCGCCCTGCATGGCCACTCGGGCGTGATTCATGACCGTGGGAAACATAGGGTCGGGGCTCGAATATATTCTCCGGAGGGCGAGCGAGGGAGGGGTACACATAGACTTGAATAGAACACCCCGCTCCCCTCCTGATGAACGCTAGTGAATTATCACCTCAATAAACGATCATCACTCTCCTTACCAGCCCCTGTTCAGCCCTGTCTCTGCTTCCTTGTCCTTGCCTTCGGTTCCCCGGTCCTGCCCCTGTCCAGTTCCTGACAAGCCGGGCTTGGTGCAGTGGACATTGCACTTGAGCCCGGTCTGGACGGCGCGGCCGGGGCAGCGAGTGCCATCCTCGAGGACTTCAGCGCAACGGAGGAAGCGCAGAGGGGCGGCGGGAGAGGCGGAAGGTGTAGACACGTCTGTGTTTGAATAGAAGACCGTGTATCGGTGACTGTTAGAGTCCGAAGGGGACTCAACGGCAAAAGAAGAAGTGAGCTCGAAGTGAGCTCAGGGAAGGCAAGGGTAAAGTCCGAAGTGGACTCGGAGAGGGAGCGAGGGAAGCAAAGATCCGTTCAAGATAAGACTAGTCTCGAAATGAGACGTGAGGAACACTCAGAGAATAAAGTAGAAGGCACTTTATTTAGTCCTATTTTGAACGCTGAGGTTCGACTACACATCGCGGGGGTCAGGCTATTTATAGACAAGTCCGGACTTGGCAGCGAAGGGCGGCCAAGGGAGGGAAAAGTGGGCGATCGAGCAGGGCGAAGGGGCGATGCACGAACGAGGGCCGAGAAGGACCACCGAGACAGGCAGAGAACCAAAGCGAGGGAGGCGCAAGCAAAAGCGAAGCACCTGGCAGGAGAAACGTGCAAAGGCGAAGCAATGTGACTCAACGTCCAAGAAGCGGATTGGTCAAGTATAAGGTTGGGGCAAATGCATGCGAGATGAACAAGAGATCGGGGCGGTCAGGCAGGTCATGAGTCACCGGTGGTGGGACACATGACCGGCAGCCGAATTGCAACCAATCGCAGCAAGGCGCGTGCACAAACAAACCGGCGCGTGCGAAGAAGACAAAGGAAGCGGAGCAGCGCGGGGAAACGGAAGTGCGGAAGGAGCGGAAATGGCAGGCAAAAGGCGGAAAATTGGAGGGGAACTGCAAAGCTACACACAAACAAACAGAAAGGCAAAAGAACAGCCAAGTGTGCAGTCAAAGTGGAGAACAAGCAGAAGCTATCCCTAACATCATCCCCTTCCTTAGCGACGAACTCCGGGCGTCGCCTTCGGCTTTGAGGGATAGCGAAGGTGGAAGTCAGCAACAAGATCAGTGGCGTGGGAAACATTGGCAGCGGGCTCCCAAGACCGGTCAGTCTCGGAATAGCCCTTCCACTGAACCAAGTACTGTAAGCGACCACGGAAGAGCCGAGAATCGAGAACAGTCTCGACCTCAAACTCTTCCTGGGAGTCAACAAGAATGGGTGGAGGTTCGGGTTGGGTGAACTCGGGAACAATGTCCTTCGTTCGGGGTTCAAGGAGGGATACATGAAAGACGGGGTGGACTTTGAGTGTGGAAGGGAGTTTAAGTTCAAAGGCAACGGGGTTGATGCGGCGAAGAACTTTAAAGGGGCCAAGCTTTTTCTGATCAAGCTTGTTGGAGGGACGAAGGGTGCGGATGTGGCGACGATCAAGAAAAACGAGGTCGCCAACGGAGATGTCGGGAGTGGGGAGACGGGATTTGTTGGCCTGCAAAGTGTAGGACTCTTGGGCAACCCGGAGGTTGGCCTTGAGATCCTCGAGAACGGTCTGAAGTCGGTCGACACGTTCTTCGGCAGAGGGCACAACAGAAGGATCACGGATGATGGAGGGATCAAAAATGGGGTGATGGCCATGGACTGCAAAGAAGGGAGTCATGCCAGTGGAGGTGTTTTCCGAGTTGTTGTAAGTGAACTCGGCAAGGGGAAGGTGAAGGGTCCAGTCGTCTTGCAGGTAATTGCAATGGATACGCAAATACTGCTCGATGACCTGGTTGAGAACCTCGGTCGAACCGTCGGTCTCGGGGTGGAAGGCAGAAGAAAGGGAAATCTTCGTCTTCAGAAGCTCATTGAAGCGCCTCCAGAAGGCCGAAGTAAACTGAGTTCCTCGGTCCGAAACAATAGACCGGGGACAACCATGCAAGCGGAAGATGTGGGAGAGGAAGAGTTCGGCGGTTTGCTCGCCTGTAACCGTCTTCGTGGTGGGCACAAAGTGTGCTTGTTTGGACAGGCGGTCCTTAACCACGAAGATGGAGTCAAAGCCGTTCGAAGGTGGGAGATCCGTGATGAAGTCCATCGACAGGTCCCACCAACGTTCGGAAGGAACGGGGAGAGGGTGAAGTAAACCATAAGGGGAGTGACGGGACGGCTTGGCTCGCTGGCACGCTTCACAATTAGCAATGAAGCGACGCACAGACTTACGAAGCCGGGGCCAGTGAAAGTCCCGGGAGATGAGCTCAACGGTCTTGGCAAGACCAAAGTGACCAGCGGCAGCGGAGCAGTGACGTTGCTCAAACACTTTGAGCTGGAGCTCGGGGGAAGGGACAACGATCAGGTCTTTAAAGTAAAGGAGACCGTCACGGAAGGAGTAATCGCCATCAAGACGTTTGGCGTTGAAGTCAGAAAGAAGGGAACAAGAAAGGGTGGCAGCTCGAATCTCGGAAAGAAAATCGGGGTTCGAGCCGATAACGGTGATGCTGTCGAGAGAAATAGACTCGAACAGCTGAAGGAAGTTGGTGGAGTGGAGGGAGTCACCAGGCTTTATCTCAAAGTCAGAACGGCGACTGAGAGCATCGGCTTTGGTGTTGAGGCGACCAGGGCGGTGGTAAATGCGAAAAGCAAAATCAGAAAGGAATTGGGCCCACCGGAACTGGCGGCGAGAAAGTTGGGAAGCGGAAGTGAACCGGGTGAGGTTCTGGTGATCAGAGAAAACAAGAGTGGGATGATCGGGGTCGGCAGCCATCAAGTAATGACGCCAGGCAGTAAAGGAATCGACAATAGCAAGGAGCTCTTTGTCGTGGGTGTCATAATTCACCTCGGCGGGACGGAATTGCCGAGAGTGAAAAGCAACGGGGTGAAGAGCGCCGTCAGGGTCAAACTGGGAAAGGACGGCACCCAGAGCAAAGTCAGAAGCATCGGGCTCGATGACAGCGGGTTTGGAGAAATCAAAGTAACGAAGAATAGGTGCGGAAGTGAATGAACGTTTAAGAGAATCAAAAGCCTCTTGGGCCTCGGGAGACCAAGAGAAGGTGGAGGATTTGGTGGTGAGTGAAGTCAAAGGACGAGCAAGTGCGGAAAAGTCCTTGACGAAGCGGCGGTAAAAGTTTGCGAAACCAATAAAAACTTGGATGTCGCGAGCAGAAGAGGGAACAGGCCAAAGGGAAACGGCCTCGACCTTGGCAGGGTCCATTTTAATGCCATCGGCAGAAATGATCATGCCGAGAAAGTCAACTTCAGAAAGGTCAAAAGAACACTTGGCCGGATTGACCTTAAGAGAGTGTTCACGAAGGCGAGAAAGAACAAGCTTAACATGCTCCTCATGCTCCAGGGGATCTTTTGAGAAGATCAGGATGTCGTCAAGATAAATGACAACACAGACACCAAGGAGGTCCGAGAAGATGTCGTTCATAAAAAACTGAAAAGCAGCGGGGGCATTCGAAAGACCAAAGGGGATAACATTGTACTCGTAAGAGCCAGATTTGCAAACAAAAGCAGTCTTCCACTCATCGCCCTTCTTGACACGAACCAAGTGGTAAGCATCAGGAAGGTCAAGGTGTGAGAAGACGCGGGCAGAAGAAAGTTTATCCAGAAGATCCTGGAAGAGGGGAAGAGGGTAGCGGTTCTTCTTCGTGATGGCATTGAGGCCCCGGTAGTCGACGCAAAGGCGAAGACCACCATTGGGCTTCTTCACGAAGAAGCAGGGAGCACCAACGGGAGAAGAGGATTTGGAGATCCAACCACGTGCGAGGGCGTTGGTCAGATACTCCGAAAGAGCAGATTCCTCGGCCGGGGACAAAGGATAGACTTTCCCCGGCTTTGGCAAACGAGGTTCCTTTCCATCCTCGGTCCGTACAAACTCAATAGACAAGTCATACGGACGGTGAGGAGGCAAGGAAGAAGGAGGGTCAGACTTGAGGCTGAAAACGTCGCCAAACTCATTGTATTTGAGCGGGACACCTCGAGAGTCAACAGGGGTGCCAGACTCGGCATACACCTTCGTCGTGAGCACGGACCTTATCGACACCGTAGGATACGTCTCCGGCGAAGGAGGACGGATATCCATTTGGGCAGCGAAAATGTCGAGCTTGTCTTCCCGTGCAAGACGGAGAAGACTCGCCGCATTAACGAGCTCAATGTCGGGCTGAAGATAAAGCCGTTGGCTCTTCAGAAAGCGAAGCAGAGTCAAGGCGGGAAGAAAGGGAAGGCGAAGTGCCAAAGGAGGGAACCGGTGTAAGGGAAGGACCGGAGGGAGGAGGAGTCAAAGGCGAAGTGCCCGAAGGGGGAGGCGAATAGCCGGAAGGGGACGAAGTGTCCAAGGAGGAAGCAGAGACATCCGCGAGGATGTGTCCATCAGCAAGGCAAGAGGGATCGGAGAACGAAAGGGAGAGGGACTTCCAATTGACAACTGGATTATGCAAGCGCATCCAGGGAAGACCAAGAGTGATGGGAGTGGTGGAGAGTCGAGTCACAAGAAAAGAAATCGACTCGGTGTGGGAACCAATGGTCAACGTCACAGGAACGGTTTGGAAACGAATGAAACCGGCCGAAGAACCATCAGCAAGGGAAACGGAGTAGGGAGTAGAAAGAGGGATAAGAGAGAGTTTATGGAGATCCGCAAAGGCAGGATCAATGAGGGCAAGAGCGGTGCATCCATCATCAATAAAGACAGAAAGGGAGATGGAGACCGGGC